TATTATTGAATTAATCCCATTATGTGTAGATCGCTGGAGAACAACGAAAACGTTCCAACCGTTCAAACGAGTTGGAATGTTTCTCTCTCCTTTTTCTCCATTTTCATTCTCACTCGCACTCGTTAAGTTTGGCGGAGAACGGGCACGTGCCAACGCGACGGAAACGACAATGAGTGGCAGCGAGCGCGATACATATTCCTTTCTCACTCAGGGGGGAAATAAATATATATAATCACTAGAAAACTATAGAGTTTTCCAGCGACAGCGCTGGGATTTTCTATGAATTTTTTGACCTACGTGTCAATAATAAATATGTCCAGAAAAAGCAAAAGACTTTTAGTTCATTAGATTTTGCATTCATTATACTATTGATTATAATATGTTCGATTTTACATTCCTGACAATTATTACAAAATGCGAGGAGCTACCGTATTGAGAACCCCTTTCCGGTTATCGACAAATTTATGCTCGGGCCCTACCATACCAACAGTTCCGTACGCTCCATCGTAGTCCATGCGCCACCGCTACGAATTTTGCTGTTGAACATTTTACATTGGCCCTGCTGATCTCCCCTATAATTTCTGATTTAACCAAGTATCTCATAACCTAAAAAAAGAGTAAACGTCAGCTCGCAAACGACAGATTTCCTGAGATTTTCGTATGTAAATTTAAAATGCTGTAAAAGTCATGATAATGCTCAGGAATTTCCTTAAAACCCTTGTGGATATCTACTGAAGTGAATTCCGTGGTAAATAAAACTTTAAAAAGCCTATTTAATCATTGAATGGTCTTTGATGAAACTTGTGGTGGGTGTGGACGTTGGGGTGGCCCATCGCTCATCTTGATTCAGAGATAACATAAAAAAAGCTGCATTTGCAAAGTATTCTAGTATAAGAATTCAGGAATAAAAAATTGAAACTCGGAGAATGTTTTTTTACGCCTTGTTACATACTACATTATCGCGGTCGTAATTAAGCTTAGGGAAAAACGTCAGAATAAAACACATATGCATATTAAAATTTGCTAGCTAGGCGAAAGTGGGACAAAGCGGTACGTTTATGATCAGCTTTAAATCTTGAAATCTGTATTTATATTATAACCAGAGATATTGAGATATTTTTAATATATTGAGATTTTAAGAAAACAACATCAGTATCTTCATGACGATGAAACTGGCCTCCCATCCTCCAAGTTTGAAAATGTAAACTTTTGGGAGGGGCTGTCCACCAAATGATCCAGAATTTGCAAATTTTTTAAAAATACAATACGCGTCTTAAAATTTTATTCAAATATGCTCAATTTTATTCAACGTGAATAGTTGACGATCTAATTTTTTTTATTGAGCTAAATGTATTTTGGCATGTAGAAACGAGCTTAATCTCACTTAATCCAAAAGGCACTAATTTGCATACTGGGGAATTTTTTTTTAAATCTGAAATTTTTATTACACACTCTTGAAACATCCCCCGATTGATTTCTACCCATATGAACGATGATCTAATTCTCCAACGACGCAGAGAATTAAAAAATCTCGTCATATTCATCTGTTTTCGTGCTCTCCAAAAATTCAATTTTGGGTGTTTCGAGAGTGTGTAAAAAATGTTTCAGATTTTTAAAAAATTTCTCACCCCCAAAATCATTGAATTTTTGGGGAGCACGAAAACGGACGTATTTGACGAAACTTTTTTTCTCTCTGGGTCGTTGAAAAATTAGATCATCGTTCATAGGAGTAGAAATCAATCGGGGGGTGTTTCGAGTGTAAAAAAAATTTCAGATTTTTAAAAAATTTCTCACCCCCAAAATCATTGAATTTTTGGGGAGCATGAAAACAGACGAATATGACGAGTTTTTTTTTCTGTGGTTCGTTGAAAAATTAGATCATCGTTCATAGGGGTAGAAATCGATCGAGGGGTGTTTCGACAGTGTGTAAAAAAAATTTCAGATTTGTAAAAAAAATTTCACCCCCAAAATCATTGAATTTTTGGGGAACATGAAAACAGACGAATATGACGAGATTTTTTTTTCTGTGGTTCGTTGAAAAATTAGATCATCGTTCATAGGGTTAGAAATCGATGGGCGAGTGTTTCGAGAGTGTGTAAAAAAAGTTTCAGATTTTTAAAAAATTTCCCCGGTAGTAAAATAGTGAATTTTGGATTAAGTGAGGTTAAGCTCGTTTCTATATGCCAAAATACATTTAGCTCAATAAAAAAAATTAGATCGTTAACTATTCACGTTGAATAAAATTAAGCATGTTTGAAAAAAAATTTAAGACGCGTATTGTATTTTTAAAAAATTTCCAAATTCTGGATCATTTGGTGGACAGTCCCTCCCACAAGTTTACATTTTCAAACTTGGAGGATGGAAGGCCAGTTTCACCATCATGTATCTTCAGCATCAGTCAGAGGATTCAATGAAAATTGATGAACAGATTATTCGATCCATTTCAAAACCGTGTGCAAAATGTCAAGACCCCTACTTAAACAATAATAATGGGAATAATTTTTGAAGTTGCTACTTATACACGCGGTTGAATGAGGCATCGGTAATTTTAGTGCTTTTCCTACGTTATTGATCTATCGATAACGTAGGCAATTCACAAAAATTACCGATGCCCCATTCAACTGCGTGTATAAGTAGCAACTTCAAAAATTATTCGCATTATTATTGTTTAAGTAGGGGTCTTGACATTTTGTAGATGGCTTTCAAATGGATCGAATAATCTGTTCAGCAATTTTCATTGAATTCTCTGCTTTTTTTTCCAGCTATGGACCCCGCCATAATACCCTTAAGCCGTCAGTATTATAGGTGCCCTCTTTTTAGTATGTCACTCGCACTGTAGAGATGTCTATAGGTTGACTGGCGTTCCGTGAGGGAAATGCTCATAGCGCGCCTACTGATGAGTTAAGACGATGTTAGGAGTTTTAGGACCAGTTTGTTCATATTCCTTTTCCTCTAAACGTCCGTTTTGCAAACGGAGCTTTAGCTAACAGCACATTGAAATAACACTTGGAGCGCTCTGGCAAAACGGATGGTTGGGCAATCGGACCGTTTGTTAAACGAGCCTTTAGAGCACAAGTTACATGAACAAACCGGCCCCTACAGTATACTCTGCCCTACCTTACCATTGAAAAAAGGTCTTTTAAGATGTTGTCGTAAAGCTATACTCATTAAAAATCTGGTGAGATTCCGTAATCGTGACGGTCCTAGAGGGGAGAAGAGGAGGTTGGAGGTTTAAACTCGTTCATAAGGCAAGAAGTTATGCCGGAACAGGGTCTATTGCGCGATCAGAAGAGTACTTGACAGACTCATTGGATGGAGATGAAATTTCTAACACCACTCGTATTCGAGATATGTGAATAAATTAAATAAGCGTTAAACAGGCTCCCTTACTTACTTCACTTGAATGATCTTGTACTACAACCACTTACTGCCGAAATGAATGAACCGATAAGATAAAATTGTTATTGTTTTCACCACTTCTCTACTGAATTGTAATTTATAATTGTAATCAAGGCGGTGGCACTTGAATGGATGGTAGTGACTTGGATTCTGCGGACGAGTATACGAGTCTGATGGACGCCCACGTCGCAGAGAGCAGGACTGATAGTACAGGCCTGGTGACTGAGAGGAAAAAGCGAAAATCGAGGACATCCGCCAGTGAGGAGGTACCGCAAAAATACTTCTTTCATGATAATCAGGCGTTTAGGTTGAGACCTCCTTTGTTGTAAAGGATTGAATTTTTTCAAAAAATGTCCTGACGTTCTCCCCGAAACCTACTAGTTTCCAAGATACCTCGGAACCTCCTGGATTTATTGGAGAATATCACGAGATTTTTTTTTGCAAGACATTAAAGTTCCCATTTAGAAAAAACTCTTTCTCCCCTCAACCCCTTAATTCTCCAAATAATCCCCCTCAAACAAAATGCCTATAAACTCCATAATTTCCCTAGGTCGACACCCTCCCAGAGGTTCGGATAGAAAACCCAGGCTCCTCCGCCTTCTTCTCGACCTCCAGAGCCCCAAGCAACCCCCAAGCTCCAGGAGCTGATCCAGGAGACTACCAACAAGATGACGAAGAGGAGGAACTCAAGTATGGAGCTGCCCATGTGATAAAACTTTTTGTACCGGTGTCACTGTGCATGCTGGTGGTTGTTGCGACCATTAGCTCCATCACCTTTTACACGACCAAAGATGTCTACCTAGTGTACACGCCCTTCCACGATGACACTGACGATACAAGCACGAAAGTTTGGCAGGCCGTAGCCAATTCTCTGATCCTTCTCTGTGTCATCGTTTGCATGACTGTCATCCTCATTATTCTGTATAAATACAGATTTTACAAAGTTATTCATGGATGGCTGATAATAAGTTCTCTCATGCTGTTGTTTATATTCACAACTCTCTATTGTGAAGAGATACTCAAGGCTTACAACATTCCAATGGACCTGATTACACTAGTAATTGTTTTGTGGAACTTTGGAGCCGTTGGGATGATCTGTATCCACTGGCAGGGGCCTCTGGCTCTTCAACAAGCTTATTTGATATTCATCGCTGCACTGATGGCTCTTGTATTCATCAAGTATTTGCCTGAGTGGACCGCCTGGGTGGTGCTTGCTGTTATCAGCTTCTGGGGTAAGTTTTGATATCGGGTGTATGTAAAAGCAAAAAGTCGTATATGCCACCATATAGGACCTTTTGCTTTCAGGAAACCCATCAAAGTGGAACAAAAAAAAGTAAAATATCTCGAGTTCAATTATCAATGGAGAAACGATCTTTGCTTTTTGTAAAGTTTGTAAAATATCTCACCTAAAGCAAAAAGGTCGTTATCCAATTTTTCATTTTTGTATATATTTTCCAATGGGCAGTTCCTCGCTAAACCCGACGCCCAAAACATTCAAAGTCGGGGATTTCCTTATCTTTCTTTTCTGAAAAGTTGAATATTGGATAAACAAAAAAATCATCAAAAAATACTGATAATTGCAAGTCATAATTTTTTTAAATTTCCAGTTTTCTTCAATGAAATTTTATTTTTCACATTATTATTAACATTCTGATCTCCAGGGCTATCGCATTTCTCCTCAGCGCACTCAAAAAAATAAAAAATGAAAAATCTTCAAAAAGAGACGTCACTGGCTGCATTCGCTTTAGTTTTACGGGATTTATGCGACAAAATGTATGTTTTTTTCAATCATGATGATCTCAAAAAATTGTTTTTTTAGCTGAAATTTCTATCTCAAATCACCAAAACAATCGATACATCAAAATTCGGCCCGTCCTGCACTTTCATATTGGTCATAAAAATTTTCTTCCCCCTAGTGACAAAAAATATTTGGGCTTTGAATTTGTCGTGGAACTACCCATTTAGATACTGAAATAAAGACTCATTACATAAATGATCTCACATTCAACGTGTGCAGGGAGACAGAAAATGAAACAAACAGGGGTTCAGGGCATTAGTCTTTTTCTTTTTGCTTCCGAATGGAAGCATTGTAATCGTTCTTTTTTATATTTTCTAATTTTGCTTGGAAATGATTTAGAATGGTCTGAAACGTAAAAATACGAAGTTTGACCACCTTGTGTGTATGTCCAGCTGGTCAACTTTTAGAAAATTGAAGAATTAAAGGCTTGAAATGCTTCCAAAAAATCTAAAACTTTGTCAGATTATAGGTATTCATGAGACCTAACGCTGTGCTAAATTTCAGCCCAATCGATCCATACGTTTTTTGGAAAAATCGCCATTTGTTTTTAAATCGTTTATTGCAAATATCTCAAAAACAATTTAACCGATTTCAATTTTAAACGCTTTCATTTAGCTTACTGGCGGACTTTGTGCTCAAATCTTGTGTTCAAAAATATACTAAGTTACTGATAAGCTAGAAGATTGCAATTTTAGGGGGAGGTACATACCTAACAACACTGCATGCCTACGATTTTTGAAATTAATATATAGAAATTCAGCAAATTTGGCGCCGGGGACGTAAAAATGAGTATTTATACTCACTATTAGAGTCAATGGCTATGGGTTTCATCAATTTTGGGCAATCATCCCCTTGAGGAGGTAGGGGCCATGGATGAAGCAGGGTATATATATTTGGAAATTCCGTGGGAGCATACTCTCTCTCTCTCTCTCTCTCTCTCTCTCTCCCTCTCTCTCTC